CAAGCAAGTAATAACAGATTACTTGTGGTAGAATCCGTGAGAGAATAATTACAGTTACACCCAAAATCTATCACACTATAGGTGCACATTAGCACACATTAGTATCAGGTGTGACTAGGCAAAAGGAACACGTGAACCATGGCTACTATCCCTACTGATATGCTGCAATCCCAGCTAATATGTGTACAATTTTAACATTTCCCCTCAAGCTAGAGTTCATTCTTTAACTCCCAGCTTGCTCTTTAGAAATAGGAACCTGGTATGTGATAAGGGTTTGGTCAGCAGATCAGCAACTTGATCAGAAGAAGGAACATATTGGATGCATAACTTTCCTTCAAGAACCTTGTCCCTGATAAAATGGATATCTAGTTCAATATGCTTGGTTCGAGCGTGATAGACTGGATTTGAGGCCAGGGCACTGGCGCCAAGATTATCACACCACAGTACAGGAGAAGAATCAGTGTGCAAGTTGATTTCTTTCAGTAATGATTCTATCCAAGCTATTTCGGCTGCTGCGTGCGCTAGAGCTATGTATTCTGACTCAGTGCTAGATCTAGCCACAACATGCTGTTTCTTTGAATACTAGGCAACCAAGGTGTCTCCCAGGTAGATACAATACCCAGCTGTAGATTTCCTCTCATCAGGACACGACGCCCAGTCTGCATCAGCAAAGCCTGTGAGATGGATTCTGTCAGCTCTTTGTATCCATAGCCCCTATTCAATTGTTCCTTTCAGGTATCTAAAAATCCACTTGACTGCCTTCCAAGGAGCATTTGTGGGTGATTGCAAGAATTGGCTCATCTTATTGATTGCAAATGTTATATCAGGCCGAGTGTGAGCCAAGTATTGTAAACCACCTATGGCACTTCTATATAAGGACAGATCTTCCATTTGTACACCTTCATTTTTGGAGATGATCTTCCCTGCTGTCATAGGTGTTGAACAAGGCTTAACACGTTCAAGATTAAACCTTTTTAGTAAGTCTCTTGTGTACTTGACTTGAGTTAGATGCATCCCTGATTCTTCTCTTCTGACTTCAGTTCCTAAAAATTATGTAACTCCCCTATATCCTTTAAAGCAAATTCAGCATTCAATTTGTCAATGAAGTCATGTAGTTTCTGATGATCATTGCCTGTGATTACTATATCATCGACATATACCTGGGCAAAGATCATATGCTTCTGATTCATGTAGAAGAATAGGGAGCAATCAGCCTTTGATTTCGAAAAGTTCCAATCCAAGAGTGTTTTCTTCAGTTTCTCATACCAAGCTCTAGGAGCTTGCTTAAGTCCATAGAGCACCTTTTTCATTTTGCTGACAAAATCAGGTTTATCTTTGTTGATTAATCCCTCAGGTTGCCTCATATAAACCTCCTCTTCGAGTTTTCCGTTCACGATAGGTTTGTCTTTGTTGATGAACCCCTTAGGCTGCCTCATATAGACCTCTTCTTCGAGCTTTCCAATTAAGAAGGTGTTGTTGACATCAACTTACCTGATATTCCAGTTTTTCCAGATTGCAAGGGTGAGTATAACTCTCAGTGTTGAAGCCTTTATAACTGGGCTAAAAGTTTTATAATAATCGACTCCTGAGGTTTGCAAGAATCCTTTCGTAATAGGTCTTGCTTTGTGCTTTAGAATTCTTCCTTCAATGTCATACTTGACTCTGAAAACCCATTTATTCCCTATCACTTTTTGGTTGATCATTGGTGGTACAAGTTTCCAGGTTTTATTCCTCATTAGTGCTTTGTATTCATCCTCCATAGCTTCCCTCCAACTACTGATTGACAGGGCCTCAGCAACACTGTTAGGCTCAAATTTATCCTGCTGAGGATTATACTCTTTGCATTGAGCAGAGTACACTTTCGATTTAAATATGCCAGCTTTGCTTTTAGTGATCATAGGGTGTTCCATAACTTGATTTCCCTATTCTTCCACTCTTAGGAACATTTAATCATTCGCTTCTATTTGTTCTGACTGAGTATTTAAGATATCTTCTTCTACTTCAGTGCAACCATCTTCAGTGTTAATCTCAGTGTTTGCAACCTCCTCAGACATCACATTTTCATCTAATACTGGTTGATTAGGACTGTGAGGAGCCATTGTTGGAGTTACATCAGAATGAACTTCATTAGATTAAATTCTTCTAAAAGTCATTTGGAGAAGATCAAACAATCAAAATCACGAGACGAGTAGGGTTGGCGGTAGATATCCGTCAAAGTCTTCCAATCATTCTCGCTGAAGTCGAAGCGCTCAACCGACCCTGCAAGGCAACATTAAAATGATAAGTATCAGGATCAATCACTAGGTTCAAAATAGGAAGTTGGGGCTTTAACATGAGGTACGGTGTCCCCCTCACACTCCTGCCACTTCCTTCTGACCCAAAACTACGTCTCCTTCCATCTTTTGATGGAGGAGGGTAAGCTCAGGACAAGGGGAGAGTGTGATCCCCATGGGCACAAGGAGAACTACCCCCTTGAATTCCCATCCTAAGGATCAAGGTTGGAAAATGGTTTGAAAAATGTGAAGGGGCATATTCTCGCCCATGGAAGTTTCCTTCCATAGGAAGAATACCCCCAGAAGTTGGGCTCAAGCATTAGGGACAAGCTGGGTGGGGGCCAGCCCGTACAACCTAATAACCACCTTGAAAAATGTGTGTAAAGGTAGGCGAAGCCCAACCTTTAAGAGGAACTCGCTAATTGCGACGCAGCCTTGCCTCAAGTAGTAGGCTCGCTCATTAAGAGCTCGGGAGAGGAGTTCCATGTCATAGGGGATCCTATATTTTTTCCTAAGGTTTGTAAGGTGGGTCGGATCTACACCGGTATCCCTCTTACCCCCCTCCCCTAGAGAGAAGCACACTACGCCTCGCTTCTATAACCTTAACAAGGTCGACAGTATTGGTGATTTCAACCCCCATCTCACTGGTCGGTTCACTCAAATCAACATTCCTCCCAGTAGACGTAGAAGAGGCCATTGACTAAAGATTTTTCAAAGATAAAAGTTTACAAAGGTACTTACGAGATTTTCAATTAAAGTATTGAAGGAAGAACCACGAGAAAGTGACAAATGTGTTGAAAAGAAAAAAGCAAGAAGAAAAGAAAACGAACTTAAGGATGGAGGAGAAGAACTCAAAGATTCTTGAAAAAACTCAGAGCAAATTTAAGAGTTTAGAGAATATGTATGCTGAATTCGCATGATAAAATTGTTTTCTTCCTAAGTTTTTGCCTTTTATAGGCAGAAATTCTTAATCCCAGCCGTTGGATGTCGATCCGGGTCATCTGACTGTTCATTTGAAGATTAAATCTGAGCCACTCAGCGCGTCTACCGCTTCGTCTTCTACGACCCAAATAAGAGCGTCTACTTCACGCAATCTCATGAGGCTAGAATTTATAAAATGTGTGGGAGACAGCCATCATTACGCATTAAATGCACGCGACAGTTGTGTGTGTGGAAAGTTGAACCACCTCAACTGTCTTTTCTTGAAAAAGTACCACGACAGAAAATCATTTGGGCACAATAATTCCAGATGCCTCGTGTTCCTCAATCATATTAAAGTCAAAAGCTCCTTGTAATTATCAATTCTGAGGCATTGTAAGAGTCAGACCCACCCCTCCCGAACCAGTTCAGATATAGCTTCGGATGTGCTAAGGCACTTTGGATAATACAGTCTCGAAAGTACTCTACTTTCCTGACCCTCTTAAGAATTGATTGAGAAGGTCAAATACCTCTAAGTATACAACTTCGGTGAACAATGGAAGGTGATGTAAAGCTTCAGGTACATTTGAAATTCTAACTATAACATAAATATTTATACTTAGAGTTTGGGGACTATTGTAGTGTGGCAAAAACCACCCCTACTAATTTTTTTTTATTTGTATATATTCAAGTCCTTGCATTACATAAATAATCATGCCTAGACTTGGGGGACTATTGTTACGCCTCGCTACCAAAGCTCAAAATCAAAGTGCCACGTAGAAATCCACATGGATAGAAAGTCAACAGAAAAATCAAATGAAGGCTCAACTTGTCAAATACGAAGAAACGTGCAACAACCGAAGTTCCTTCCAGGTACTACCTCAAAAGACGAAGCCCCATAACTTGGGTTGAAACACTGCCTAAGTAAACAAATAAAAGAGTTGAAGCTCCCCATTCAGACAACCAGCATAAGGACCTCTCCGAGACTTTCAGCACATCCGAAGCTCAATGAAGTCAACGCTATCTCTTACAACATATTTGAAAATCTTTTAGAAGTGATTGATGTAACACTTGTAATAAATAATGTTAGGTGTGTCAACCTATTGTATATGGTGGTTGACCTCTTATCAATGTATTAATTGTAAGAATATACAGTGATGTACAGCCTCAGTTAAAGAGATGAGGCCACATGGTTCTGATCCAACAGACACCACGTCGGCCAAGATAGTATAAATAGGTTCTCTTTGTAACTTAGAAAGAGTTGAATTTTTGAAAGTTAGAATCTTGAGTTCTTGATTATTCTTGATTATTGAAATAAGCAAATGATTCTTACAAACATTTGAGCGATCATCTTCCCTTCGAGAACACTTCCAATAGATACAAATTTTAACGTGTAATCTAACACTCATAAACACACATGTCATCTATCCTTCCACATATTTCCATTTAGCCTTTGGTTTTTGTCGAATAGATTGGATCTTGATTGGTGATCGTTGCTAACGTGATCATCTTCGTTACACTCGCCGGAGCTCGAACACTTTTGTCTCTCGTCGTAAGGCATCTCTAGCGTTCGCATCCGTTTTTCTCACCGTCTCCCCGATAGAAACGTGCCAGAGCTTGCCTAACATGACGAGAGTGGACCCGACATCTGTTAACTCATTTTTTGGGGTCAACAGTTCTACTTCCTACAATGTATGACACTATTATTAATGCCCTTGCAGTGTAGCAAATGCAAGAAAAAAATGCAATTCCTAGTAATAAGCGGGGAAGCTCGAAATTAATGAATTCATATCAGACTTAGCAGCAGGCATGAATTCAAAACTAATTGTAGAAGTCACTTCTGAGGCATGTTCATCGACAATTGCCTTGGCAGCAGCTGCTCAACAATTCGGAGGAAAGCTCCTATGCATTCTTCCCAAACCAATAACTCTGGACAAATCACAAAAGGTAATTCAAGACTTACGCCTAAATGAAATGGTCGAATTATGAGGTATTGTTGAATTATGAGAACGCTGATTTCTTCCTAGTAGATTGTAAGATTGATAACTATGAAAGATTGCTCGAAAGGCTTAATGTGAATCGCAAAAGGTCAGTGGTAGTGGCAAATAACTTGATCGAGGGGAGAAAAAGGGTGGAAGGTCATTTGAAAGGAGTTGAAACTATGGTTGAAGTACAATTTATAAAGCGTCCTATAGGTAAAGGTATGGAGATTACTATGTTGGGAAGAGCAATGTGTTTGGAAAAAGAGAACAAAACAGAGGAAGCCATAATCAAGCAGAGCGAAAAGGACAATCCGTGAAGAAGACAAGTAAGGGCAAATGGGTTTTTGCAGTTGATGAGCAAAGTGGAGAGGAACGTACCTATAGGATGCCTAAATCTCTGTAAGCAAGGATGAAAAGATTCTGAACAAGATGTAATTTCTAAATTACATTTTTCGGCTACCCTTTTTACCGTAGTCCCATTTGGTCCGTCATTTATTCTCCCTCAACAATGTTTTGAATAGCGATGGCCGTCCTCAAGGCTCTGTTTCAACCCAACTACAGATGGTTGTTGATTCAGATCTTAGAGCGTGTTTGATAGCCTAGAAAATTATTGGCCTTAAGGTATGTTTGATAGCCTAGAAAATTAGGTGGAAAAAGAAAATGTTTTTCAATTTCACCCAATTAATGGTGTTTGATTGCAAAAGTTTTCTTGGCTTTTGGTTTTCCTACCTTTTCTAGGTACAACCATTTTATACACATTTTCTTGCAAATTCTATCATCTATTGCAAAAAGAATTTTCACTTTTGTTGACAATTTCTATGCAAAACAAAGTGGTAATTTTTTCTAATTGTTTAATTTTTTTTTTTACTTTTTCGTAATTGGAACAAATTCTAGACGCAATGGTAGAAAAAATTATCACTTTAATAGACAATTTTCATAAAAAATAAAGTTAAACGGACACCAAACTTTCAACATTTTTCAGGTGGAAAATTATATCAATTAATTACAATTCCCAGTAAAACAATTTCTAGGCAATTCAATTCCCAATAAAACATTTTTTTTCCACATTTGCAATCAAACGGACCCTTAATTCTATTCCGACTTCCGAGGACATTCTACTACAGTTTCTTGGGGTTTGCCTAACGAGTCCACTTCTGCACAACCCATCATCTTATGAGTGAGGTTTACTTGGGCCGGCAGATCTATAATGAAAAATGCTTTTGTATTGAGTTATTATTAGCAGTTGAAGCTCTACACTATAATACTTGACATAATCAACGGTATTAAATACTACCCAGTTCAGTTTCTTAGCAACTGCTTACTCTACTGTTTACTTATCCTTAATTTATACATATATATTCGGTTAAAAGCATATTTTGAATGTTTAATCATTCATAGATAACACGTTTAAAAAGAAGTTAACAATTCGTAACACCTAAAGAGCCTATATCTATATTTTATTCAATGATTCCTATGAATGATTTAAATCCTAAGGTATATGTTATTTTATTTCCCACTGACCAGAATGAACCGGCAATTACAAAGAAATTAAGTAGGGCTGGTCCATGGTCAAAATTGGCTTCTTAATTTGGACCAAACTAATTCCATTTCTTCGCTTATTAATTAAATCTTATATCACATCAATACAGGAAAGTTTCCTTCTAGACATTTTTTAGAGCGAGAAAATAAATTTTGGTCACTGTAATCGGATTTGTAAATATGTTTTTGACTTTTTTTGATAAATACACTTTTTTCCTTTCCCTCTTCAAAAGTGTTAATAAATTCTCTAATTTCATATTTGCACAAATTACAAAGTATATATCTAGGCAAAATTGACGAGAAACAGCATCTCCTTTTCTTTTGTCATGAATTACGAATCAGATTAAGTAAAGTTGATAAGAATTTCTAATTAATTTAGATCTTTTGTTTTATTAAGAGTTGTAGTTTCATCTTAAAATATCAATCTTATTAAAAGATTTTTTATCGACGTGGAATTTATCATTTAATACGTCTGGTAGCTCGTTTGAGGAATCCTCTTTATTATCAAGTTTGCCTATAATAAAATAACAACGCAACTTAGAATGTCCATTTTTTAAGCACACCTCTCGTCAGGGTGTTTCTGCTCTCATATGATATTCAACTGTTGACTGGTTACACTTAGAAATTCAACTTCCTCCCGCCCGCCAAGATTGAAAAATTATAGTCAAATTTGTATTTATCTTGCATCTTAAATAGGTTATATATATTTGTTTGAATATTTCTATATCAGAAGATATTTTTCTCTGTATAGGAAGGAAGGAGCCATGAACACATTTGTAAGAAACCCTACTCGCCGTTTTAGCAGCAGATCAGATTTTTTGGATGAAGAGAAATGTGATAATGGCTGGAAAATGTTTTCGAGAAGGACAATTCGACTGAATAAAAGCCATATTATGAGTTCTTTTAGCGTTCGAAGGGAAAGGGCAAGAAAGAGGAATATTTTCCTGCAAACGTATAAATTATCATCTCTCCATTCTAGAGAGAATTTTAGAACTCGGAAGCTGAAGAATTTTGCTGTCAAAGTGAAATCAGCTGTGACGTCGGTTTTATCATTCATGCGCGGTGGTGCTTTAAGGTCTTGCAATTCCCGGTCAGCCGTTTGTGCATCGTCCCCTACTAAAGTAATTAAGTTTTGTTGAGTTATTTACTGATCTTTGGTTTCTGTACTTCTTTTATAAAGGTTATTTCCTATTTATTATTCCGTGGAATGAAAGGAAGGGTTTGGTTTGTCCGAAACATACATTCTTTCATTTGTTGGGAAGGCGGGGCCAAGATTTTTTTTTTTTTTACGGTGGGAAGGAGATCAGGCCAGATAAAATCTCTACTCATCGGATGAATTATTGTGGATTTTAAGCATTAATATTTTCCCATGTTGTAGTCATGTCGTGAGTAAGTGGTATATGTAAGACCCATCAAATTGCTATTAACTTTTAATGTTGGCGAAATTAAGTTTGACGAACCAATCGGTTTCACTGAAATTTCAATGACTGAAAATAAATCAATCCATCTAGAAAATATTTCTGTATGTGTAACGATGTTAACAAGATAATTAAACAAATTACAACAAATTGGTTATGTACTTAAGAGTAATTTCAATAAACTTGGAATGACAACAACAATTTTTTCATTGCACTCTTCACCTCTTCCACCAAGGTTGGAGCACCTACAGAGCTCGTGGGGATGCACTGGAAAGCTTTATGGCCTCTTCGCCAAGTGATTTGGGAGTTGGATTCTGTAATGTGGGGTTAGACGTTCGCCTTTGTCATCTTTACTTAATCTGGAGGAGGGTTTACCATTTCCAGTTATGCCATTTCTTAAGAGAACCTTAGTTTATCCTTTCTATCAAAGATTTAACAGTTTCACCCTTTCTACAAAGGGCTCTGCTTTTGCTATCTCTGTATCCCTCACACCATGTTGAACACAAGGTGTATTTTGCGTAAGGAATTCATATAGTCTCCCTCAGAATGAGTTTGGTTGCCTCTTGTTGTAGTGATTCTGTGTTCTATCGAAGACTTCATTCACGTTTGATGAATGGAAGTGACCACCCAAAACTCCTTTAAGGCGGGACGGCCTAAAACACCACGATAACTAGATCTTAAATCTACCACTAGAAACTCCCAAAGGTGTAGACTAGCAAAATTTTCAGCAATCATAGCCTCCAACTCTCACTTGGAAACGATCTCCCTCTTAGGCTTTCGAGCAATCTATCGACCCTCTTAGGGTAATTTTTTGATCAATTTCAATATACCAAACTCACAAATATGATATATACAATCTTTATAATTTCCCATATATCAGTGAGAAAACCTTTCATAATAGTTATGTAGTTGAAAATATAATTTACATAATTGCACATAACGTACTAATATAATTAGTTTATCAATATCTAAAAATATCTAAGTTTTTCTACTCACTGGATTATGTACTGAACAAAGACAATTTCGATCAACAAGTTGTCCCATCCTCGCTATTTCCTGAAAAATGAGACATTTCTTCAGATTAGTAAGCATTTAATCCAAATCCTAACCAATGAACAAATAGAAGGCCTCAGCACCTCAACTATTGCTCCTTTTCTATTTTTCCGTTTCATTCTACTATGAAAGAAAATCCATCGATGTTTTTATTTTCCATCCCATTTATTTCTTCACATTATCTTCTATTGAGGCCTATACATATCCAATTGCATTCCCTTTCTAATTGAAAGAAATTGATGTTAATTGGAAGACGAAACAAGAAACTTAAAGTTGAGTCCCTGTTCTTTTCTCTATTGTTGTAGGTACCCATTAATTACAAGAATAATAATGTTATTTATATGTAATGAAGTTACATTATGATTTACAAAGTGTCGAAAAGAGATTGGTTGAATTATTATTATTTTTAATTTGGTTGAAGAAATTTTGCCCAACATTTAAACCGTGTAGTACAACCGTAATTAGAATTGGCCAAATCCATTAATCAAAACTCTGAACTCATTCTACTCAGTGAAATCACAACTCAATTCATTTCAGTTTCTATTCAATACTAGTTTTTACCCGTGCAATGCACGTGTTGGGTTATTTTGAAGGTGATGTTAGTGTTGTATGTTAGGACTATTTTGGATAAAATGGAAAGAAGATAATGATTTTTGTTTAAGCAAGTGAAAATGCAAAAACTAAATAGGAGAACTTGATTACGTAGATGATTAGCCAGATATGTATCATTATTGCTTTCATTCTTGTTTTTATCCCTCCAACTTTATATGCAAAACAAAATTCACATAAATAAGAATAGATACCATATATACAAACAAATGGGGGAGCGATAGCATCAGCATAAAGGAAAAGAACAATAATAAAAAAATTCTCCAATAAAATAAACATAAAAGGCCCATATTGTCCCCTCTTCAGTTTATAGCTTCAAACATCTCATCATCTACATAAAAAGGTCAGTATGAATTGCTAGAAACTACGTATTGATTTGGCTTCAACACTGCAACGGCCCCACTTTGTAATGCACATGAGTCTCCAGGTATAGCCATTAGCATAGACTTGATAATTCCAACGGGAAGTTTCACTATTTCTACATCATGATTTGAATTTCCATTGGTTGGGCAGCGCTCTATAAAATGCACCACAGAAAAGTATTTATCAAGTATGCGCTTTAATAGTGTATTTGTTTCATCTAAGAACTTCTATTCACTTGAGTTTTAAAAAAGGCAAAAAAAAAAAAAAGATAAAGATAAAGATAAAGATAAAAAGAAAGAAAGAAAACTATATTTGCAGGTACACTAACATACCAG